AACAAATAATGAGCGGCGTTCGTGTGCGGATAAGTATCGAATTACACTGCAAAGTGTTCATGTAGTGCGCATGTGTAGTGCAGTAAGCTAACCAGTGTACATATTTATGCGTGAATTTGCAAACTTATCGCATGACTGCGTGAGCTTGTGTAAATCGGCGAGGGGCGTGTAAAATCGCACCGAAAAAATGGTCAAGCGTAGTGTCTATTTATTTTAGTTTGCTTACTTTCTGAGCCTATTTTTGCATTACATAAGTATTTTATTTTTCTTGAGTGTCAAAGCCAAATAGTTACTTACTATGTGATTATGTCATAGATTCTGTAATATTATTTTATATTTTTCTTTTGCCACGGAATCCTATATATGTAATTATTATTTTTATAATATTGTTTTTGTGTTTTTCTTTTCTTTCTCATTTTTGTAGATCATCATAATAAGTTTCTAATGATTTTACTTGCTGTATTGATTTTCTAATATTATTTGTCTCTTGCTTTGTAGTATTAGTTTGTAATATTTTTTTTTTGTTAAATTAAAGAAATTTAATTTGGTTTTATAAATTTGGGACTAAGTATTAGTTACATTACAGCACCACATTTGTTATATTTTTTTTTCGTTTATAAATTTACATGAAGAATTCAACGAATCAAATTTGGTTAAATATTTAGATTTGCTTGAATTTGGAACTATTTTGGTTTAATTTTTTGCCTATTTCATTTTAATATTGTTTCATATTCATTTATAAGCCGCAATTGTTTTGTCGCTTTACAGCAACTACTACCTTCTTCTGCTTAAATTTTCTTCTTTGTAGCCAACGTTCGTCTCCAGTATTTTGTGTGCTCTCACTTATGTTCAAGAATATTTTAAACTAATTGCGTCTCTTCCCCATCCAGGCGTTATACAGTTTTAACATATTTATTTATTCTAATATCATCTTAGCGTATAGTAATGTACATTTAATATGTTATACTCATTTCCGCATATGGCCACTAACTGTCTTTCCTTTATTGCTAATATAAAGTTAAATTTATTTTAAACAGACTCTTCCGACAACAAAACCCATGGAATTTGCGAATTTTTCTTTTCTAACTTTTGTAACATAAAGTCAAACTTGGATTCACTTCGAACATCAGCAGCCGAATCAGGAAACACATTTTTCACAATACTTTGAATTAGACTGGCCACTTTATTCATATCGGCGTTCCCAGCGGAAGGTCTACAGCGAGATAAAAATAAAAGCCAATTTGGTTGCTTTTTATAAATGTAAACAGAAACCGCACCGTTCCATGATCTGTTATCAGGTTCTGATCGATTCTGGCAAGCGTTCATCTTCATCAGCCAAAGGTAAACAGTTTTGTCATTCGTTTATTAGGAAGTAACGATTTGCAGATACATTCCGGTGCAAATAAGGCACCATCTAAGTATCAAGTGTACTAATAGACCGTTTTACAGTATCACCGACGATATGTAGTTGAAGCATAGTAAGACATGCATAGATTTGCAAAAAAGTTGAACCGCTAGTTGGCATTGAAGTCAAAATAAAAAATATATTCCACATAAAATTAATTGTTTATTTGCGTTAAAAATTCGTTTAAAAACAATGTTATCAAAAAAAATTTCAAGTGAAATTTTCGTGACGTAACGTCATGTAGCGTCACGTCAGATAATTGGGCTGATAAAAAACAGGAAAATTTTTACATTTAAAAACGTGGAAAATTTACCTTAAGTACTTATTTAAAAAATTGCCAATAAAAAGTATACAAATAATCTTGGCAGATTTGCGGGGCCTTGCACTTTTGTAACCCAAGTCAAGCCCCACTTATGTTTTTTGTAACGCCACGCCAGCGCATATGTTTGCTTATATGTATATTTAAATCTATACTACCAAATTTTGAATTTTAAATTTTATTTCTTAACATTTTGTCACACAAATGTCACGTCTCGTCAGATTAGAAATACCAATATAGGCACGTATGTATGTACATATGTCCGCTTGTTCAATCGAATCGATCCTAATCTCCGTTGCTTTTAGAGTTCCATTTTGATAACACGAAGAGAAGCCAAGTCTAAATTTGGGATCAGTGATAAACTAACACGGCTATAAAGAGTATCCGCGATCCGTTGAGATTGCAGAAAAAGCAGCTCCCAAGTGCAAGACGATGTACGACTTTCCAACACAAAACGACTCATATGGGGACACATACCATTGCTGGCATAAAAAATTTTTTTATTGTGAAAGGCTTTGGATATGTATTTAGAATACAATATTAACACCACCAAAAACGTTAGTCTGTAGAGCAAACGCAAAATAACTCCTGCCAGCAGGGGCTACTTTAAGTTCGGTAGGCAATTGAAAAGTACAATCCTCTATCGATGAAGAAAAATCGCGCTCTATAAATCTATTATCAAGACACAGAAACGTGGATGATCATAAAGAAAGCTGCGATTACTTTGGTAGATTTTGAAAATAGTTTGGGCGATGCGTACCGCAGAAGAATGAATGATGAACTTTGTATAAGATATTTTTATTGATATGTACAGAGTCAAATACGTCTGTCGTTGGGTAGAGATATGTACAAGTACTAACTAATCTTCACTAGAATCAGGTATCAATAAAAAAATCATACGTAATCGTCATACAACTGTAGGTCCACAAATTGTCGGAAATCTTCAAAACGCATTCTACAAATTGTAAGAGAAACTCCGGCAAATACTTGAGTACAAAGTGAACGCGAAATATAATAATTTAAAAATATATGCGTTAAGATCCAAAGAACTAGGGATATGGAGAGATAAAAGTATCGGGTATTTCAGTATAATTGGGACCTGAAAGAAATTCCACAGGTCGTCCCCGGTCGAAATTCTGTATTCTGTATAACGATGACCTCCAAATGGAATGCATAGTTGCAGCAGACGTTTTCTCTGAAAACCTGGGATTATGGAGATCAATTACATATGCCTGATATTGCAAGTATTTTTCAGATAGGAGTATCTTTTACAACATATTCTAAGCAGTAAAAGACTCGTTTGAGCGCAATAAATAGTCAGATATGGAAAGATTTATTTTAAACCCCTGATCATAGCAGCGCATGAGTTAAACATTGGCCTCAATCGAAGACTCGACAGTTCTAGTTTCAAGAAGGAGGACGTTAATCTGTTTGCCTTTTAGTAATATGCTTTCTAAAAATTATATACATATACATTTTTTTAACAATAAAAACTAAAAATTAAATTAAAAAAAAGAAAAAATTATAATAATAAAATATAAAAAATTAAATTAAATTAAAAAAATAAAATATAAAAATTTAAAGAAAATTAAGTTATTAAATGCACAAAAAACTTTTTGAAAAAAATTAAAAATAAATAAGATAAGTTCCTAAAATTAAATTAAATAAAAAAATATTTTTTTCATTTTAAAGCAACAAAATCTAAAAATTAAAAGAAAATTTTTTAAAATGAAGGAAAAATAAATAAAATGAACTCCAAAACATTACATTAAATTAAAAATAAAAAATATTTTTCTTAAAAACAACACACAAATTCTAAAAATTAAACAAAGATTAAAATAAAAAGAAATCTTTTAAATATGAAAAAAATTTATAAAACAACTATAAAAATTAAATGAAATTTCAAAAATATATATTTCTCTATTTAAACCAATAAAATCTAAAAATTAAAACAAAATTAAGTTAAAACAAGAAAAAAAAATTCATCAAAAAAAGAAGGACATTTCGGTTCCGAGGACTTGAACCTCGAGCCGGAGTAGCGCGAGCAAACCATCTTCATTGGAAACATGCTCAATTGCTTTTCAACATTAAAGTTGGCTATTTTTTTAAAACTTTCTTAACGGAATAAACAAAATCTATCAAACTATCTTGCCTGCACTGTCTTTTTCAATTGTCTCACAAAAGTCTGGCAATTATTTCAGCCCGAATTGCCCAAGGCGATAAACGTCTATAAAGTTAAAAAAGAAAATTTAACAACTTCTACTTTCGTAGGACATACGGTAGAAGGCCTTAAGTTCTACTAAAGCTGCTTCTTTAATTAATAAAAGTCATACTTCTGAAAAGGGTTTACAATGTCAGCTTGAAGATGAGAGTGATGCTTTTCTAGAAAACAAAATATGTATCTCTATTAATGATTAGCCCGCTAATTTTTTGTGTTGAATTGAACTACATATTTTGAAAAGTGTCATATTTTACCAATTATTTTCAAATTTGCACTCCGCAATTGCTTTTCAGTTTATTGTCCCAACACTGAAGCGGCTGCTGATGCACCTCATGATTATTATCTCTCTCGTTTTGCTTTTTGTACATTACATACATACATATAAGTTGTGTATTAACTATTACATATGTACGTGTAGCTTAGTGATAAACTTGTTATTATTAATAATAGTAGTTATTTTTTAAAGTTTAATGGATATTTTACGGTTCTCAAATTTATTGTGTTCTCTTGGCTGCTAGTTGTTATATTGCATGTATACATACATATGTATGTATGTATGTATGTATGTATGTATGTATGTATGTATTGTGCTGCAACATTTCAAGTCGAACTATGCCGCCCAAACTATTGTAGGTAACTACAGTTATGTATGCATGTGTATACTCGTATGTATATTTAATTTTTTACGACTAGTCACCACTATATATGTATGTATGTATATGCTCACGTGGTCTTTTTGTTACATACACACTATATACCTACTTATTTATGCACCTACATAAATACGTACGTATGTATGCATGTGCGTTTATAATTTCTAGAATTTTCTTTTTATAGATTACTCTCTGTGTTTGTATTGGTTTGTCTGTTTCTTCTTTACCTGTGTTTGTGTGTGTTTTTGTGTGCCTTTGACTAAGTATGTAGGTATCTCATAAATTAATTATTGCTAACTTGAATTAAATATTAAAATACTTCACCAGAACTCGTCAACCGTTCACTGCTTATCCAAGAACTCGCCACCTCAAACCTACAGTCTTCACTCAAACAAAAACAATTTACACATACCATTCTTTCACGTCCTTGGAATCACGTTTTTTCGGTTTGGGTTGCACCAGCCCGGCCATTTGCGGACGGCCATCGGCCCCAGTGCTGGCCATGCCGGAGCTGATGCAGCCATAGCCGACCGTGCCGCCGCCACCACCTCCGCTGACTCCAGAAGCGCCGAGCATGCTGCCACTACCGCTACCACCACCACCAGTGCCACCGCCACCTCCACCGCCTCCTGTATTATGCCCATTTGTTAAATTCTGATGATGTGTCCCGTGGTGGCGTTGCTGATGATAGGAACCGTTTGTGCTGCTATTGCCCAGCAATGCCGCATTGGGATTATGCCCATAGGCGGCGGCCTTTTCTCCTTCCGTCTTGTAGTTGCGATCACCGGTCGATTTGAGCCACAGCACCAGCAGTATGACAAGTATAACAGCTATCAGTATACCGGCTACAATACCGATTATCATAGCCGTGCGCTCCTCCTCGATGGAGTTAACGCGTCCCCCTTTACCCTTGGAGCGATAATTATTCCCATACGAAGGCGGTTGCTGTGGTGGCATTTGATAGTATGGCGGCGACTCATGTGGCGGCGGTATATGTGGCGATGGCCGTTCTCCTGGTATAGATATATGCTCGCCATTGAATATCATATTTGATTTATCATCGTCCTCTCCATGATGCCGTTCACCACCATTTCCGCCGCTAAATACTTGTACTATATCGTATGGCGTTGTTGGGTGTTCGGTAGCTGTGGAATGAACTTCGGGTGGTGGTGTTGCTTGGCTAGTTGTTGTGGTCAAGGTCGTTGTAGATGTTCGCTGCGTAGACGTAGTGTAGACGGATGTGGGTGTCGATGTCTGGCGCTGCTGGGTAACTATGTTCGTAGTAGCGCTATATGGGACGGTAGTTTCACGCGGTGCATACGTCTGACTTTCGGTTCGAGTCACAACACTACTGGAACTGGTGCTACTTGAACGCTGCTGTTCTGTGGTTGAGGACGTATCAGTGCGGCGGCTCGTACCATCTGTGGTGGACGACACGATTTCATTGTTGCTCTCTGAAATTAATGTGCATAGTTTAGTACATAGATATGTGTGTATGTCTGAAATGCTTAACTAAATGGGCACGACTTTACCCAGATAAATACCCAACCACGAAATTGGAACCAAAAATAGTTATAATTATTTGATTTTTAAAATTCTGACAGCGGATTCAGAATTAGCGACTCCGAAACCCCGCTAATACGAAAATTCGAATAGTTTCTTTAAAGCTTCGAATTTTGGCCGCACTTTTGGATTTCGGCTGCACTGTGAGATGGATCGCTTAAAACTCTGACTAACATTTGGAATACTTTTTTAGGTTTTTGAAAAAGCACCTGTTAAAGACGTTAAATTCAATTTTGGCATTTTAACGCCATATGGGTTCACTGGTAATATAGTAATTCGGATAAAAGAGGAAAAAGAACTTTCACTTCAGTTACGAGCGGGATCCACCCACAATTTAATCCGAATCTTTACAACAGTTTTGGGTATGCAGTTTTATAGTCGATGCAATTTAAGTGTCATAAAATGCAAGTTTCAACCGGCTGAAAAATTCCGTTGATTTTTGAGAATTTTTCTTGGTGACCGGAGGTTTTTTCATATAACAAATGTCATTTACAAAAACTGGCGTTGATTTTTTTTTTTTTTAATTTTGTTGCAAACGGTCTGCAAAACTGCAAAAACCCGGGGGACTATGAAACGGCCCGTAAAGATTCAGATTCAAAAGCTCAAAATTTTTATGAAAATTTGTTAATTTTTTATTACGTTTGAAACTTTGACTTATGTATGCATATGGTTTTGGCTAAAGCTTGGACAATGTTTTAACAGAAAAATAACTTGAAAAACGATGAGAATATTTCAAAACGAATCAATACCTGAACACTTGTTTGAAATTTTAAAACAACACTTTGAAGAAACCTTTTTATTTATTTATTGTTAATTTACTCAAAATATTTATGAATATGCGTAGGGTTTTTAACAATTCGATAAATAAGTAAAACAAAAAACAAAAACACTTTATCAATAAAACTGTGCAACTCTAATTATTCTCTAGTAAGTATTTTTTTGTAACTTTATTCGTCTTTTTTGTTTGTCGTTTATTGCCAATAAAAGCACATCAACATATATTTAAGCTTATTGCTGATTAAGACATAGATATGTACATGTATATGTATGTACCCACCAAACAATTTGTGTTGCCCGCAATAAGAAAAGGTGTCGCAAACGGCAAACAAATTTATTGCCGGTAATATCGCCATCGTATCGATTTATTACTATCGAGTGAGTCGTTTTCTTATCGCCTTATTATTGCTACAGGCGGTATTTGGAATGATTTTGTTTTTTTAATAAATCATTTATTTTTTGCAAAAAAAATTGGAACTTAAAAACGGAATTAATTCGTTCTGTCGCTATGGGACTTTCTATTTTTTTCAATCCTATCTTTGGCATAAATTAGATGCTTTTGGACAAAACTATTGACGGGAAATTCATAAGTTTTTGGAATTTTTGATGACATAATTATTCCAAAATTGGCATGAAAGAAACAATGTGGCCGATTTCTCACTACGGCAATAAATGTGCGAGTCGCCAATTTATTGCCATTGACAATTGTTACCTATTTCTCATGTTTTGCATGGTGGGATGTTTTACATGGTGGGTATGCTCAAATACATAAACATATGTACAATAGATATGTATGTATGTATGTATGTATGCGTGTAAGTGCAGACTTTTTAAGTTTTCAAAATCAAAATGGGTCAGATCTGTGCATTTTCTGCCGATATGTGTAAATACATATGTATGTAGAAGAGACATTCGAAGCTATAAACTAAATTAATAGAGATACGTGATTTTAAAGTTTAACAATGTGCATATCTACATAAACGTTTTTTCATACATATATACATACTCAAATGCATACAAACAATGTTGCATGCATACTCCTACATACATACATAGATAAACCTATAGACTTTTCCAAATACATACATACAAACATCTCGCAACTTTACTACATATAATTACACACTAACTCTTACAATCAGACTCGATTCATATTCGTAGATATTTTTCTGTAAATTTGCATTGTATTGTACATTCTATTTATGTAGTATGTATGCTAGAACAAAAATGCATCCATGTAATATTTATATATGACCATATATACTATATGTATGTATGTACAATTGGCAAGCGCGTCAGATAGTATACAATGCCTTTAGTATCTACATATGTACATATGTATGTATGTTTGAGTAGCCATCACGTCGAGTGGACACCTGAGAGGTGGTTGGCATGCTTTTGCATTTTTGTTTGATGCAGCTGTTACCGTTGCTTTAGCTTGAGTGGTCGAGCCGCGTTGTTCAAGTGGCGTTGGCGATAGCTGTAGTGATAACGATACCGCAATTTTATCGGGTTCGCCCGAACAGTGAGTGCCCGGCATGATGGTGGTGATGTTGTCTTTTTTGTTGTTAGCATTGTTGTAAATTGCAAGTGTTGTTGATCGTGATCGTGGTCGTGGTCGTGGTCGTGGGCATGGTCGTGTTGTTGTGAGTTATCTGATTTTATTGTTTAACTTTCTATTTATTTCATTTTCATTGCATTTTACTTTAGCTTATTTCTCTTTTTTTTTGTTTTTTGAATACTTCAAATTGCAATTTCTTGTCGTGTTGTTGGAGTCACGTTCGCCTCACATTTCACTGTTTCTACGATTGCACTCGATGCAATTGGCAAATCCATTGCACGATCAAAGTCAGAAATATGAAGAGTTCATTTTCTGAAAGAGATAATTCCAACTCAGAATCATGAATTCAAGATTTCAAGTTGTGGAACAGCGAGTAACAAGTAACGAGTAACGAGCTTCCATGGGCGAACGGCAGTGGTTGTGGTGAATGTATGGCTGATTGGTTGATTGGCTGATTGACTGATTTTGATTGTTTGACTGATTGATATGTTGATTTTATGTATGTACGAGTATATATTTAAGGAGCTGGCAGTTTATTTGTCTGCCTGAGCGAAATTTAATGCTTTTGAACTACGATTATGTCCGACGTTATGAAAATGTTTACTAAGTTGATTTAGCCATATCTAAAGATTCATGAGCTACCAGGTCGAAGCCATGTTACACATACATATGTACATATATATCTGAATGTATGTATTCAAAGGCTCATAATGTAATACATCCCACCAAACAATTTGTGTTGCCGGCAATAAGAAAACGTGTCGCCCTCGGAAACAAATTTATTGCCGGTAATATTGCCATCGAATCGATTTCCTATTACCGGTCGCTCTAAAACGTCCGCCGAAGGCAACTCGCCTGGGTGAGTCGTTTTCTTATTACCTGAATGAGTCCTTTTCTTATCGCTTTAGGCGATATTTGGAATAATTTTATTCTTCTTAATACTTCATTTATTTTTTTGTATACCAAATTGCAACTTACAATCGGAATTAATTAATTTTCTCGCTGTGAGACTTCCTATTTTTTCAATCTTGTCCTTGGACATAATTTAAATGCTTTTGGCCAATGCTATTGACGCCATATTCATAAGTTTCCGAATTTTTGAGAACTTTTTTTATTCAAAATTGACATGAACGAAGTGGTGTTGCCGATTTGTCACCACAGCAATAAATCGGTGAGTCGCCAATTTGTTGCCATTGACGATTGTTGCCTATTTTTCATGTTTTGCATGGTGGGATGTCAACATACATATGTATATGCCCCATATGTATGTATGTGCATATTACATAGGTATCTATGCATGTACATATGCATGTAGTGTGTACAACTACGACCTAAACTACAGCTACTTTTTTCGGTTATACATATGTACATAAGTAAATAATCGGCAAAACGTAACGAATTAATAAATGAACTCATGCAAATATATAAATAAAAAGTTAATAGGAAAAGTTTGCTCCAAACGCTGTGTTGAAATCGTTTAATACTAATTATGTATAAATAATAGGAGGGGAACACAAAGAGGATTTGGGAACATACTCAAGCCGGTTTTGGCGTTGTGCAACTTTCAGTGTATTTTTCCCACCAAACAATTTTTGTTGCCGGTAATTAGAAAGCGTGTCATCCTCGGCGACAAATTTATTGCCGGTAATATCGCCATCATATCGATTTGTTATTACCAGCGGCTCTAAAACGTACGCCGAAGGCAACTCGCCTGATGTAATCGTTTTCTTATTACCTTATTACCTGAACTAGTCGTTTTCTTATCGCTTTATTCTTGCCACAGGGTATATTTGAGTAATAATTGCTTGAAACAATTTTATTCTTTTTAATATTTATTATTTTTTTTTGTTAATAACTCCCCCTCGCATGCCATGGCGTATGAGTTATGTATCGAAATCAGTATTTACAGCCGTATTCTAATAAAGTAGGTAACCAGACTCAGCTCATCACTGTTTGCCGCAACAACACAAGCTTTTAAGTTTTTCTTCATTTCCTTAGCACTTAAAATCTAATTCTTTGTGGCACATTTTTCGGCGCACTAGTGATGTGTAGACTGCCGATGTTTATGCAGAAAACGAAACCTAAAAATATGTACCACAAGCTATTTGTGAACTGATGTTATGGATTTCATCTAATATAACAGTAATTGTTCCTAAACGATTTATTTCATTCTTATCATTTTTTCTAGCATCATATTAATAAAATCACACGCTAAGAAGTCGCCGTGTCTGAAACCGAAAGGTACCGAAAGAATCGGAGAGATTCTTCTGACGAAGCTGGTGATCATTTTACATAACGGTTTCGGATTCGCAGAGATACCAAATTCAGACATCGCGTTGTATTGACATCTCCTTTTTGTACTGTCGAAATCAGTTTTATAATCGGCAAAGAATATTTGGTGAATCACCAGGCCTGAAGCCACACTGATATTTCGTTGATAGTGGTGTTTAGCTTTTGTCAAAATTCGCTAGCTAAGATATTGTACGCAATGTTTAAGGGGCCGCGGTAATTGGTAAAATTGTCTGGGTCGCTTTTCTTGTGCATCCAGTCATCAGGCGGGTCGTCAGCTATAGCATCTTTGTGGTTTTGCAGCCCCGAAATTGCTATTCGTGTCTGTTGTTGTAACGGTTGGAGTGACAGTCCTTGGCCAGATATGAATCTGATTCGTTCAGGTTACGTAGACCCGACTGTTGTGGGAGCGGCTATTCGTTTTTCATCATAGTCGCTGGTACATTTACATTTACAGCCATTCAGTTGGGTGAATAAGTGTTTACATATGTATCAATCCCGTTTTCAGCTTGAACACTGAAAACGTGTCTTACATCCAACATTCAGTTATGTGAGACCATGGGCAGCGCTCCCCAGTGAGCTCTAAAACGTCCTTAAACCGAATACCGTGAAGTATACTAAAGCTTCCTCTCTTTCTTCTGTAGCCCAAAGCTCCACCCGAGTTCAATAACGCCTCTCACACGTCGGTTGCTCACGTTTTTCAGGGTGCGCAAATGCAGATTTAAGAGTAGTGTTGGAAAGCATAGAATACGTTTGAGGATCGAGTTATGTGATATCGATACTTTTAAGGAGTCCCGAGTACTTTCTTTAAATATACACATCGCACACTGTCTTCAAAAGAGTCACAACTCAAAATAATACGTTTGTCAGAAAATGCGAAAACTATTTCTTAGCACAAGATAATCATATGGGCAAGGGCGGTATACTCGTAGGTTGTTTTTTTAACAAATTTTAATAAAAATAAAAGCTCTGCGTACATTTTTAGCGCATAATCCCAAAAATGCCAAATTTTTACTTGTGATTCTTTTGAAGATGGTGTGCGACATGTTGGTAACATTTCAATGCTTAGTATAGAAATCTCACGAGCTGGCAGCACTTCATTACTAAATTAATATATTAATCCCAAATTATGTCGGTTGAAAGGCTGAATGTACTGGGTGCAAGTATTGTACTTGAAAATTATTGAAACTTAAAATTGAGTATAATCATTTCTGAATAGCGATAAATGTAAATAGAACTCAATACTTTGAAGTATCTATTCTGCCTTAATACTGAGTACTTTCGTGTTCCTTAAAGTTCTGTGTACTTTCGAGTTATTTTGTGAGTACTTTGGAGTACTCATTATCGATAGTCCTTTAAAAATCGGGTACACTCGATTCTTCTGAGAATGAAGTTATGAGTACTTTTGGTATCGATACTGCCCAACACTGCTGAAAAGTGGGAATGGAGGATGGCCGAGCAACAGTAATTATAGCTATTATTCCTAATATTTTAAAATTAGGGATTATATAGAAAACAATTCAGAGGCTTCTCTAATAGGCCAAAGAAATGATAAAAACCGCTACAACTCTAACAAAATTTTAGAGTTTCGATTATATTAAATCTTTTGAGTGAGGTAACTCAAAATTCAGGTCGGGAAATATAACTTCTTGTTAATCGTACAGATTCAACGCAGTTAATACATAATCAGGTACAGCAGTCGTTTTTTAGTTAGTGTATATAATCATGAAGAAAAAAATATTTGCATTCATTGGAGGTAAGTCCTATGCATTGATTTATGCAAAACAAATTTCATATTTTTTTTAGTTGATCGCACTTTACATAGATCTACATAGGTGTGCGATATGATCAAATATTTCTCGGCTTGAATAAGTGTACCTTTCATAAGCGGATAAAACACATAATAGGTGCTGCACTTTCAGTATTCTGAAACTTTTCGCTAAAAAAAATGTAATTTTAACATATGGTGCAATAATTTTTCAGAATCCAAGGCACCACAATTCATGCCTATTTTCATGAAAAAGTATAGTGATGTCATGCGCTAGAGAGCTTATAAGTTTTGGACAAAACTTTGGCACAAAGTTTTCCAGAATTTACGAGCAAAATAAAGTCCAAAATCATCATGATTCCATGTTCAAAACAAAAATATACAGTTCTTTGAACTCAGTTACTTGCGACGATAGTTTAAACCCTTCACGACAGAAATTGAAGAAATAATTCTGCGAATCCAAATTAAGTGCATATTCGCATTTTCGACTCTAAATAAAATTATCAATTGTCTAAAAAATACATTTTCTCTTCCCCGTTTCACCATCCTTCCCCCTGCCCCACATTTACTATGTACCTTGTTAACAGAATTATTGTGAGTGAAATGCCAATGAAATGACTATACGACTACTAACTATATGGCAACTTAACGGTTAAGAAAAGCACTCTTACTATATACATACATACAAACAGCACGACAACTTACCTGATCCTTTTGCCGTGCTTGTTGAAGTGAACTGCTCAGTGGTTTCACCATAATCGCCCGATCCATGCAGACAATCCTCATCATCGCAGGCGCGCTCAGTGCCATTTGTCTTGTCGGTGTTAACATTTTGTGCTGCTGTTGTTTGCTTTGTCGGCGGTACATAAACGGGCGTTATCAGATCATCGCCACTGCCTGATTCGAATGGTGGCGTACACTCATCTTCGTCATCGCCACGACAACCCGAACCGGCACCCGAAAATATTAAATCATCTATGGCACCGGGATAACCGCTGGCCGGAGTCTGCTCGCATTTATTATGGAATGTAAGGGAACAAATTTAAAGAAAGAAATATTCGTGAAAGCTAAATGATTAGCTAAATTTTAAGGACATTTATTACGTTTAATGAGTACGTATGTATGTATGTATAGACAAGCAGTGCAGTTGGAGTGCAAGTAGATGAGTAAAGTGTATTTTATAGAATGTACGAGTATGATTAGAAGCATGCATAATGTTTTGAACGAGTAGTATTCTGTTCTGTTATAATAACATACATAAAAGGAGGAAGGTGAGCATAGGGGAGTATGTAAGAAATGTGCTTGGATTGATTGATGGAATTTTTAAAATTAATAAAGTTGTGTTTTGGAATTAAAAATAACACTGTAGGGAAGCTAAAATTACAATAAAATGCCGAGATAACTATGCTTAATTTTGGGTCGCAGATTGCGGATCTGTATATCGTTTTTCTATATCAGATATTGTAAATTTTCATTGCGTTTTTCTATATCAGATATTGTAAATTTTCATTGCGAATGAAGAAAAATTCAGAATTTAAAATGGAGAATGTTGCTCATACGCCATGTACCTACAAGTTAATACGAATACGGCCATGTACCATATGGCGTATGAGTAACATTATTTCCTGCTCCAATTGTGACACTATTGCAGTAAATGAGAGATACTATGTTCACTTGTACTGATAGCCTGTTGGCAATCAGGGCTCTTAGGTATTTGATTATATGGTCAAGAAGCGTCTGACTTTTCCCTCGATGCCATCAGATTTCTTCGTTATCAAACTGATTTGGGTTCCAGGTCACAGCAATGTCGCAGTTGACTTTATGGCCGATGTATTAGCAAGACAGGGAACTCTCGACAAACTGTAAGGAAACGGTAGGATCTCCACTGGATACTTAAGCGTTACTTCTAGATCGATGGGCTATCAATCAACTCAGCGAATGTCGGCCGGAAACCTTGAAATGCAAGGTAGCTAGGTCCTTCTGGCCACGAGTTAACCCATGGCGGCCAAGGGAGCTTTTAACAAGTTACATATCTAGTCACTGGTGGGAGTTCTAATTTATTCGGTAAAGGTCAACGTTGCCTCAACCCCCTTTTGTGCAACATTTGTATGGAACTTGATGAAGTAAAATCATATCACATACAGCTGCTACTGAGCTGCTCAGCTTTCACGAGCTTAAAGTATAAACACCTTGGGTCTTACTTTTTTCTCACCCCCGAGGAACTCCTGATGTTAGTGATGGCCGCTTGTGGAGCTTTGTCGTAACAACGGAGCGTCTTTCAACTAATCTTTTTCCATTTCCCTTCGTGTCATCTTCCTCTTTTAATGGCAATAAAACGTGCTATTAACTTAGACACGACAGTCGTATTTACTTAACCGGAGTGACCCTGATTTATATCTGGCAAGGGACTGTCACGCCAGCATCATTCCCCAAAATCCCTTGGAAAATTGGTGGGCTGTTACAACAGAAAAACTACAACTATTAACTTATTGGTCTAAGTGTGCCTTAGGGTGGTCCAAAAATTCTCATCCCCTAGGATTGTTCTATACCGAAAAAATCTATTCCTATGTTTTTTTTTTTAAATCAAAGAATATTTAAAGGTCGCTCAAAGCGCCCAAAGTTTTCCATATATGTTTCTACTTTTCGTAGAAACGGTATATAATTCTTAAAAATCAATATTTTTGCTATCGGAGAGAGCATTACAATTCCGACTTTACTGTTTTTGGACCAGCCTAGTGTGCATCCACCTACAATGTATTAATCAGTTTATTATCTTCAGGAACCTAGATCCCAATTGTCATTTAAACGAATTTCGATCCTACTACATGAAATGCCTTTAACAACTTCGCTTTTTATGCATTTTACTAGAAGGGATCGAAGAATACGTATGTAGGTATTGATGTATATCATTAACTATCGATATTTATATTAACCTAATAAAGTATCTGAATAAGCAAATAAGGAATTATTTAAATTTTCAAAGGATAAAAACAATTTCGCCATAAACCAAAATTAATTTTTTAAATACAAAGCTTACATAAAAAAAAAACTTTATGTATGTATGTTTGTGTTCATAGGTTTTTGTGGTTAGTGCAGTAGCATAAAAAATGGCTAAATATTTAATAAGCGTTCTCAAATGCCAACCTGCTCTCATGAAAGTTACTTTAGTTATTTAGCTTAGGGCGGTATTGTCACTTGCGAAGCGAATGAATTTGGCGAAGCGAACGGTTTGGCGAAGCGAATGGATTGGCGGACGCAACTCAAATATACATTAAGAGTGTTCTCTTTTACCAGCTTGTGCAAGTTCGTTGCATCGCGAACACTATTAATACCTTCTCTTCCTTTTAATTCGCTTCTCCAAACCGTTCGCTTCGCCAAAATCATTCGCTTCGCAAGTGATTTAAATTTAGCTTGCCTAATGACATCGAAATACATTAACTACGCATAGTTGAATAGCTATGTACATTAGCATTGACTTTATAGCTTCCCCATGAGAGCATGCGGCATTTACTTTAATTTAGAAATAATTACGAGAAAGAATGCAAATGCAATATTATAATATTTTACATCGAAACAATCCACAATGTTATTACAATGAAAAGTTTACAAATATACAGGTATAGCATATGATAATAATTTATGGGCCATATCCTTAAGTGGAATGTAAATTAGTATTTACAATTAATGTACAAAATTAAATGTATTTATTTAAAATGTTTATATTCAACAAGTGTATTGAGCTTGAGGCCAAAACAAAACAAAACAAAACAAAAACACATTTATTTACATATAATGTTCTAAATATGGCCAAATCGGCCACGGTTTATTCTAATAGGAACCAAAAATTTTGTACGCCCAAGTATGATAGACATTTTATTTTATTATTTATTGTTTATAAATGAATTAAATTTTTATAAATCATATCGATGGCTGATAGAGAATCGCCCTACCTCGGCAGACAGTTCAGTTCGAAAACACCCTATGTCAGAAAACTTTTCAAGGACGTCCTACTTCAGGATTTGACTGAATCTTATTGAAAAACACCCCATCTCAGAATTTGGTTGAATAACGCCCAATCTCAAACGAAAATACATTGAAAATGTGCAGAAATAGGGCGTTTTTAAATTGGCTGCTGAGATAGGGCGTTCTTCAACCAAATTCTGAGATAGGGTGCTTTTCAATAAAACTCAGAAATAGTGCGTTGTTGAAAAATGTTCTGAGATAGGGCGTTTTCGAACTGGCTGCCGAGATAGGTCGAACTTCCACTCAGCCATCGATATTTTTTGAGTCATACGTTTCTGAGACAAACACACCGTAGTAAATTTCAGAATTACATTTCTCGACTCAGCTGCACAAAGTGTGCTTTTTTAACACTTCATGCGAATTTATCGTAGCGCTTTCGACAGAAGCAATATATTGAAATGAAACGAAATGGCTTTGAAAGCTTTTCACGGAAGTCTGGTCGAAAGTAGTGTTCTTTGAAAAAAACATGCAAAATCCAATGAATACATTCCAAAAAAAAAAAAAACGTTTTTTTGTATTTTTTATTATACTAATATTATAGATTTTGAGACTAGAAACAAGATTCCACTGTTTACAAACGAAACAAAATTTCAACCCCTCAATTTGAAAAATGCATTATATATTGCATTATTTATGATTTGCATGCAGCTGTGCATCCTTAATGCAATTTTACATCCCTCGAAAAACAAATGAGTTTTAGTGCTATTCACGACCTTTGATTTAAGCCTTTAGGCCCTTTGAGAGCTAAATTATTAGGATTCTGAAATTTCATTCCACATTTTTTCGAAAAATCCGAAAACTACCATATTTCAGTAAATATTAAATCTAAATTATTGCTAATTATTATGTGAAGTCGAATTTTCTCGCACATAATGCGCCGCCTACGGAAAATGGTTACCCAGAAACGACTTGAGAATTCCCAAAATCTTAACTGACATTCTTTATTATATTACATATTTACATTTGTGTGTGCATGTTAGTGTTTATGTAGTATTCCATTCAGTGTTGAATAAATGGCTCATAAATTATTTAATCATATAACTAAAGAGAGATATTGATTGATTGATCGATTGATTGATTGATATTTTTGCAAGACTTATTTACGATGAGAATAGTACTTGAGATTTGAAGAGATTGCAAGTTTGATTGTTTAAAATAAATTCCCTAACCTGCTGCATTCTTTGCAGATCATTTCTATCTAATACTCCAGTTACCAATTGAACATCTCCTCGTATGGTTATGTGTGGGTCACGTTCAACCGCCAGATCCAGTATGCGTAGCTTATTCACCGACAAACCGGCAATAACACCCGCAAATGGGCGTTCGATACGCGTGCGACCGCCACGGCTAAATTTTCCGCCCACCTGGATGCTGGACATAGTATTGAAAACGGTCGATTGGTGTCCTACAAAGGGGTACATAAATACATAGCATTGAGAATTTAAAGAACAATGATTTGCTTGGACTCTTATGCCTGAGATACCTTGTGGATTCAGCGTTTGTACATTGTAGTCGTCGAGCTGTAGTGTGGCATTGCCACCTTTGCGGCTAAAACGTACCACATGGTAAGTGTTATCATTCACTTTTGTACCAATTTCGCCCAATGGCAGATCGCGTGTACCAATATTGTAAACCATAAAAATGTTGCCTTCAACTATCTCGAGTTCCATGTAATCCTGAGTCGTTGCGCTCTCAACTCGCAGAATAACTGCATCTGATTTTGTTGTTATGAAACCCAACGCCAAATTGTCCTCCTCCGTATCGGCTTGCATATTCTCCGGATATGAATATTGAATTATACCCTTGTTGTTGCCAAATTCATAGGCAATCGATTCTATTTAGAATGAAGTGAAGTAGAAACAGAAGTTAGTTATTTGACGAAATGAAGTATGAGCTCTGCTCAATGGACTTACCATCGTAACACGTCGGGCCGGTGTATGAAGTCATGTCGCACTCACAGACATAGGCATTCCATTGTTGTACGCAAACGCCACGATTGGCGCATGCATTCTGGCTACACTTGGTTGGTCCTTCACAGCCCGTCACCACCAACGAGCTGGGCACCACTGCATCGCTGGTCAGTGTGGGTGATGTGTCGCCCAAATCCAATGAAGCCAAACAACCTTCAAAGCCGGAACGCGACGAGATGGACGCTGGCAGTTTGGCGTACATGTCCTTAAAAACGCCACCTATGTACAGTATACCCGAAAGCTCCAAATGCATGCTATTGCCGGTCAAAGTCACTATCTCAAAGGAATCGTCAACGGTGAGCGTATGCGTTTTCGGCCCCGGCCGCCTTATGCTCACTTGATGCCAACGATTGTCATTCATGTGTATGCGCGATTTGTCACGCATTGTTATTGGACCGTCGCCAATGTCGAAGGTATAATGAATATGTCCATTGACCAACTCCAAAGCAATGAAATCATTGCGACGCCCGTCATTGAAGAGCACCAATCCATTGGGTTCAACGGTTTTGAAACGGAAATCCACTGAGACGCTTGAATATGCTTTGAGCATCGGTAAGCCTACATAGGAGTGCTTGGAGCGAAAGGTGGCAGCATGATAGGGATTACCGGGTGGTGAGTTAACAAAACGCGCCGTCAGCTTGAAAGTGGCGCTCGGCAGTGCCGACAACTCCGGGCCCAAATTCTTAACAATATCAATATATCTGAAAGCAATATAGCAAAGCATACATTTGCATGCGTGAAATCAATGTATAGAAAGTCAGCGCGCAAAAGAAGCCAAATTCACCTTAGCCCATTGAAAATGAATCCTTGTAGTTGGCCAATAAAATTGGGCATTGTCGATGTCATTTGAATTTCCTCCTCGGCATGGAACATTCCACCCAAGTGAATGGAACGTATCTCAATGGTACTGTGGCGGCCGAGTATAGTCTCCGCTGTCGGAATATACATATTTACGCTAGATAAAATACTAAATCACACATGCAACGCACACCTAATTCAGCTACAGCATAATTAGTTAGTATGAATACTCGTTAGTCAAATTAAAATATATATTATTAGGCAAATACAACATACTACATACATACATATGTATTTACGAAAGTATGTAATATAAGTATGTGCGTGTTGCAGATAAGAGGACGGACGCGCTACTACATATGTATGTATGTCACAGCTCCTCAAATCACAACATATTTATAATATCATTAAATTACAAGAAGCATGGTTAGGTATATGTATGTATTTGTTTGTATATATCACGATTAAAAGTGGCTTTAACCAATAATTCACTCAGTGAAAGGCAATAAAGTAAGTTGCATAGTAATAGTAATAGTTCGAGTATTAATCTGATAATTACGTATACGAGTATAGCTGTAGACATACATATACATACGTACATATATTACAGCCATTTCGTGACTATACATATATAATTTATGCATGTATGTAAGTATGCATATATGTATATCTTTTGTATATATAT